ACATACAGGTACATTGTACACTTGTTCCACATACATATACATGGAAAATACATGCACACACACACCACACACCTAAAAAAATCACAAGAAATAGCTACTCCAATTCTGTCTATGGGCAGCCACTTTTCTAAATCATACTTAAGTATTTACCTACAGGGCAACTCATGACTGTATTAAGAGAATCACATGAAACTTAAGGGACTCTAGTTTTACAGTTGTTAAAAAGTGACTCAGTGGCAATGTTAGGGTGATGTTTTCTTTATAACAGTCAGTGCCTTGTTGCAAAGACATGAGATGTGATTTGAGTTACATGATTTGGCACTGGAAATAGAACACAGACTCCAGCATTGTGATGAACGCCAATGTTAGATTGTCTTCACAGGTACAATTTCTGACGTACAGTGAGCACTCATATAGTCACCATCACCCCTGCTGCTCAGCTCTTTGCCCACCTGCTTGCAGTTGCTGAAACAACACAGCTTTCTGGTTGCCTCTCCTCCTGCTCTGAGTTCAGCAGGTTAGCTTGTCGGCAGTCCTCCACCGACTACAGTTTCTTGATGTTGCTGAACACAGGTCTGTTTTCACTAGCTGTGGCCCGATCAGGGCACAGTGCACGGAGACACTGCTTACTTCAATCTGCCCTCTTCCATTCTGGAGAATTTCTTTCGCCCTTGTTGTGCATGTCCTTGACGCTTTCTAATTTGGTATTACCTAACCCAGAAACATTTAAGATCAACTTGAGACATAGAAAGGAAAAGGAGGGACCTGAATCAACTGTTAATTGGGAAGTTGTGATAGAAATAGACTGCCCATCAAAGATTCTGCAATTCCAGAGAATTGGAAGTGAGGTCCAGCTCCCGAATCCCTTATTAGTCACCTTGCCTCCTTCTTTCTCTTAATGCATGACAAATGAACTTTCTTCCTTTATCTCTTGCCTCCTATTCCAACAGACACCCATCCCAACTACAATAAAGGAGATTTCATTTCTTGTCCTTGAAAAACTCTGACCTAGGATTTCCCTCCTGGGAATGCTTGCAGCATACAGGACCTTTGATTTATGGTTCTCCAAAGACTAGATTTTGTTACCTTTGTTACCTAGCAGTGTTGCCTTTGGTCTCTTTCACTCATCCTTGTCTTTGGGCACTACCAATCCAACTGTACCTACTTCATTTCCACTATATTATTCTGTTGTCTAAATGAAAACTAATTTAATGCCTTCTACAAGCTTGCTTGTGCTTGATGCCAGTGTTAATCATTTTGCCACAGCCCAACAACATCCCTGTAGCTTCAGTATCCTGAATCCTGCTTTTCCAGTGGTGAAGCTGAGGATCAAAGAACCGTAAAAGTTCTAACTCTAATGGGTTTTCTCCTATTAACACGGCTCCCTTGTGTGCCTAGCATTTACTTAAAGCCAAGCAAACAAGCAAATACCTATATTGTCTCAACTGCCACAATCACCATTGCCATTTCTGCTTGACAGTTGTGGAAAGTAAGTCATGTTGAAGACTTGGCTCATCATCTACATAGCTGTTAAATAATTGACCTAGGACTTGAATGGAGGATGCTAGAACTTACACCTTGACTCAACCCTGGACCACCAGGAATACTGGTTCTGGATTTATCCACTATTAGAAGTCATTCCTTTCATACAATTCTCATAGCAAAGCTCCATTTTCCCACCTGTACAGAGGAGACTTATGTAATAGACTTTTATATGTCTTTCTCAGGAAATGGCCAGGCTTTTGAAGGGAAAGCATTTGGGCATGATGAGGAAAAATACCCTTTCCAGACTTATTTTTTTTATTTGTTGCTTATGTTTATGACTGCCTAGAGCAGTTACTGACTCTCCGTTGCTCAGAGAATGAAATCAAAACCTGTGATGAGTATGGCCCAGGAAAATTATAGATGGTGTTGTATCTGCTGTGGCCTTCCGCATGTTACTTTGATCCTCCCTTTTAATCAACAGCTAGTTTATATCTCTCATTTATCTGAAGCCTATGTCCCATCATTGAACACATAGCTTTGCCATTACACTCTTTGAGAAGACTTCCCTGAGCCACTTCTCTTGTTGATGATTAGGTGCTCATCTTACAGATTCACACAGTATGTATTCTCTTGTTTGCCAGTTCATCACTAACTACTGTTCCGCAGGGAGAGACTTAGTAGCTGTCAGCCTCTTGTGATATCAACACATAGAGTTCTGCGAGATCATGCCTCTCCCTTCTGCCTGACTGGTAAACAGTCCCTTACAATACCACAATGGTGGTGTGAGCCATGATGGTGGTGACAGTGGCGGTGGCAGTGACAGCAGTAGGATTAGTGGTCAACTGTCAATCTAACCTTCCACTACTCGCTTTCGAACGCCACAAAATTATTTTTTAAATGAACCAGATCCCATTTAATTACTTTTTCAGTTTAAAGTTTGGAGATGTCGGGAATAGCTATGGATAGGGCCTGGGACAAATTGTACATTTAAAACATTTTATGACGTTACTTAATTTTTTTTGTAACTACATTTTGTGGTTCTTGCATGTGAACTTTATGAGTGATGATGTATCATGTTAAAAAGTTGGTTTTTCTATTTAGTCTGTCAGGGGAAATTGGGAGTGTATATAATCCAAATGCATTGTATACATATTTGAAATTCTCTAAGCATAAATTTAAAACAAGTAATTTTTAAGTTTGATTTAAACACCTATAGAACCAGAGATAGTGCTTGTTACGACTTTAACATAGCTTCATTATCCCCTTTTCACTTTTCTTATTTGTTTATTTAGTTTTCAAAACAGAATCACATGTGTTTGAGCTGACCTCAAATTCACCGTGTAGCCACGGGATGGCCTTGAGCACCCGATTCTTCTGCTTCTGCTTTGGGGATGCAAGGATCCCAGGCAATGCCCCTGGGCATGTGCATGGCTGGGGACTGAGCCCAGGAATTCATGCATGCTGCACAAGCATTCTGCCAGTGGAGCTGCATGCGTGGGTAGGACAAGGAGACTGGGACAACAGTGAAACGCCTTGCTGCCATTACCCAGCTAACATGTGACAACACTGGGAACAGATAGGAAGCTAGCAGCCTCTTTCCTTCCCACTGCTTCAGTGTTGTTGACCCCTCCCCCAGAGCTCCCTGAGTGTGTTCCATCTGCAATCCCAGAACTCTTATGCATTCCTCCACCTTCGTCTTTGCCACTGCCAACCGCCACTCTTTCTCTTCTGCCCCTAAGAATCAACCCAAGCCCCTCTTCCACTAGGAAGTTTCCTTAGATAACCATAGCCCCACTTAGACACTTTTCTGTCTGCTCATACAGTATTTCTGACTTCTTTTTAACATATTTCTCTTGACTCCTGTGTCCCCACCTCCATCTGTCTGTTTTCTCATAGAATCTACTGAATAAAAAGTTGGCTATAAAATATTCTCAACTAACAAGCACAATTTTACTCTATTTCCTTTAGCTTCCCATACCTCCTTTTCAAAGAAAGCAGTTTTAGAGACAATAGGTAAATTTCCCAAGGATATAGAAATATTAAAAACAGAACAAGAGAACTAGAGACAGATGGTTTAGTGGATATAAATGCCACACAAGCCTGGTATTCTGAGTTCAGATAGCTGTGACTTGTGTAACCCAACAAAGGAGACTGTTTGTAGCCACAGAACTTCAGTGACAAGAAGGGAAGACACTGGAGACTCTTCCATAAGCTCTCTAGCCATCTAGACTGGTACATGCAACACAGATAGACTGGCTCAAACAACTGGAAATATTAGGAACCAGTTTTATTGTCCTGACAGATTTGTGGTGCTATTTCCTCCTGATGGTGACCAGCATCCAACACGACTGCTCCTACAAGAAAGAATTAATTAGTAACGCTGTTAAGAAACCTTGAACTAGGTGATCTCAAAGTTCAGATCCCCTAGTTCCTATTGCACAGTCATCACTCTCTACTGTTAGAAGATTCCAGGAAAGTTTCAAGTGGTGACCACCACTCAGAATGGCTCTTGCTTAGATTAATGTCAAGTTTAACGTTGCTCCTGGCACATCATAATTACAATGTATTGGAATCATACTGTTTTGTCAAACACTGGACCTCAGAAGCAATTTATGAGGGCAAGATGGTCGACACTCGTTGAGCAATAGGGTGGAGGACTAAAGAAAAGCTTTGATTTGCATTGACATTCATATTTAGGCTTTAGTAAAAGAGTAAGCACAAGGGGAATGACTGCCAAACATCATGACAGGGAAAGAGTGTGTGGGAGTGAATGAAGAAAAAAAAAACAGACAAGTCAGGTGGTGGTGGCATACGCCTTTAACCCCAGCACTCGGGAAGCTAAAGAAGGTGGTTCTCTGTGAGTCTGAGGCCAGCCTGGCCTAAAAGAGCAAGTTCCAAGACAGACTCCAAAACAACAGAGAAACCCTGTCTCAAACAACAACAACAACAGCAACAACAAAAAGACAGACAGACAGTTGGAGAAGATCTAGATTCAAGAAATCAACTTAATATTTGACGTTGGTCAAATTATTTTATTTTTCTGAGTATGGGTTCCTCATCTCTTAACTGGGAGTCTAAAAGCAACATTTAGGAATAGTGTGAATATTTGATAACAATATTAGAGTTTTTAAACATGTGTGAGGTACATATTCAATGAATACTTGGCACATGGTGTCAAATCCCAATTATTAGTTTTTGTAAATATTTTTGTCATTACTATAATGTCTGTTGATCAGAGCCCTAAAGCTGGTATTATGCTACAAATAACAAGGCAAGCAATGCAACTGAAAAGGCTAGATCTTAAGGTCATTCTTCTGCAGAAGGTGGGATACTTCAGTACTCTGCTAGAGCCTTGAATTTCTAAGGCGAACACTCTATCACAGTCCCGGGTTACTCTTGAGTAGATATTTAAAGTACCACACTAAGGTTGGAAATGGTTCATCAAATATACTGTTGACCATACTAAGACCTCTTCCAACTTCCCCTGACTGTTTCTGTCTTTTTGTGCCCTTTAGGAAGGCTCACCTGATCCTGCGGCGCTTGGAGAGGGTCAGCAGCCATTGTTCTAGTCTCTTACGAAGCGCCTACATCCAGAGCCGTGTGGACACCATACCCTATCTCTTCTGCCGCAGTGAGGAGGTCCGGCCTGCAGGAATGGTGTGGTATAGCATCCTCAAAGACACCAAAATCACATGTGAGGAGAAGATGGTGTCCATGGCCCGAAACACGTATGGGGAGACCAAAGGCCGGTGAGGGAGGGTACTACCCTCCTTGAGCACAGAGACGCTCTTAGAGGGAGCACTACTTTCATGGATCCTGGGACCTGGGTGGGCTGGGGGACAGCTGAGGGGCCTGGCCTATGACACTTGCCAGCAAGGCCAAAGCAAACTGTTTCTCCGTGGACAGACAGCCAAGAACTTTGTAACCAATGGAATTATTCATTTTTCTCTTTTATTTTTTCTAAGATATTATTTGACTCTATCAAATGTTTCTCCTTTATAAACCTTTTCTTATGGATGGAAGTCATTGTGGAGGCAAGAGCTTTCAGGTGGAGACCAAGCAGCCTTTCCTCTCCTTCCCTCTGGCCATGGACCCCTGGAAGGAGACCTGGGGAAAGACAATTTGACTACTTCCACATGAGCAAGGATGCTCTGGAGACTGTGGCAGCAAGGAAGCTTGGGTCTTTATGGTCTTCTCCCTCTCTCTCTTCTCTCCTCATCTTTCTTCCTCCTCTTTTCCCCTCTCCCTCTTAACTCTCCTACTCTTCCTCCTCCTCCTCTTCCTTATTCCTCACCCCCCCCCCCCTCTCTCTCTGGACATTATTGAGTTTGAAGGCCCATTGCTTCTTTCTGCTCCCTGTGGGTCTCTACAGGACTTTCTGTGCATTAAAATTCCTATTGTCTCTCTTTTTGCTTGGGTGATGTTTCTTACCAATGAAGCATGCTTGAGGGACCTCTGTCTATTTCTTAAACAAACATTGAGGGACTGTATGGAAGGCACAGGATAAAGAAAGAAGACAGGGAAGTTTTTTGTCCTGTAAGAACTTACTGTCTAGTGGTTACTATAGAGAAGCAGTCTAGTATAGTGTCAGCCTGGACTGAATGAACGCTTTGTCAGACATGTCTGGATCATAAGACATGCAGAAGGACTGTGAAAGTGCTTGCTGGAACTGCAATAGCTAATCCCAAAGAATAAGTGGGAGGGTGGCAGGCGAAAGTGAGAAAAGTGGTATATTGTCCAGGGAGAGGCAAAGTCGTGAACAAAAGCAGGGAGAAGATAAATTCGAGCTTATTAAAGGCCAAACAAGCTTTTATTGAGTATAAAAAAAATACTGAATTGAGCATGAGCACAAGCAGCACACTATTTGCTGGATCACAAACAACTTATCAGTGGCCAAACTATTGAAGAAAATAATAGCCTCTCTTCCAGTGCCTACAACTCCCATAATCTCTCAGTGAGGGGTGAGACCTCATGAGCCCCATATTCTCACGTGCTACAAAGGCAACAGATGTACCCTTTGTGCAGCTCTTGTGCATGTATCCCCAACTACAGTGAGTTCATGGGTCCAATGATTGTGTCATATATGGAAGAAGGGTATTGTAGAAGGTGTAGGAGAGGGTAATGGAGGCTGCAAACTGAGAATGTGTATGTAAGAAACTGTAAGTGACAAAGATGAAACTTCCCAGTGTGCTGGGGGCAGTGATCTGAACATGCATTAAGTCTAACTCTACTACTGTTCACCAGCTATAATATTTAGGCAAGTAATCTATACCTTCAATTCAGTTTATTTGTCAGTGAAATGGGTCAATAGAGGTCCTGCCTGGTGGGATTGCTAGACAAGCTTAGTAAATAAGAGCTAAGATGTGCCTCATCCCACTTAGAGTAGTGTAGAGAAGAGTTTCTTTTAATACTGATGGAGATAATATCATATTATAATATCATCTTAGGGATAATATAAATTTTAGGAAGATTATTGTGAAAATTGGCCACTGAACTATAACAGCCTCCTGAACTCTGTAGATAAACGTAGAGGGGAGAGGGCTGGAAAGATGTCTTAGTCAGCAATACTTGCTGCATTAGAAAGACCTAAAAAGGTAAAAAGGGTGGCAACAGGGGAAGACACTAATATCAACTTATGACCTCTGAATTCACACAGGAAAGACACACACACACACAGACACAAAGACAGACAGACACACACGTACACACAGAGGAATAATACACATGAACACACACACATACACACCTAACTTCTCACAAAGAGAATTAATGACTAACTGTATGATAATATAAATACTATGACAGGTTTAACTCAAAGAGAAGTGGTCATAATGTCAGAATTTAGTATATTATTATTATGTCACTCTAAAACCATGTGGTTTCTCTGAAGCTCTCACAGATAATAATAGTCCCCTGGAATACTTTCTGTCAGGCTGCATCTGACTCAGTTTCCCCTCCACACCCTCACTGACTTCAGCTTCCTTTCCCTGTACTGTGGTATCTGTTGCTTTTCCCAGCCGTCATATGACTGTCAAGAGTAGGAAGCCAGAAGCTTGGTAAGACAAGGTGTGTGTGTGTGTGCGTGCGTGCGTGCGTGCGTGCGTGTGTGTGTGGTCTGACATGGCAGCAAAAGAGGTTAGACCAATATTTGTTTAGATGTTTCATTAGAAAATAGGAAAATTCTTGAAGTGCAAGTGCAGCTGTTGGGCTGGCAGACTTGGCATCAGTACAGCCAGATTGATTCGTGTGTTGCCACAGAAAATACCAGGGATTTGACATTTCACTGAGGGGCAAGAATGGGATTTCCCATGTAATCTCTCCAGCATCAAATAAAGAAGGTGTGAACACACAGAAGTGTGCTAGAGGTGCATGGGAAATCACCCCTCACCGGTCCCTTCTTCATTATGATCGAGAACTGTCTTCTCAGGACTGAGGAGATGGCTAAGAATGGGTAAGAGGATTTACTTTGAAGTTTTGAGGATCTGACATTGAATTCCCAGAAGTGACATAAAAGACTGATTTGGCATGTATTCCTGTAGCCACATCATTGGGGACAGGGACAGACATGGCCTAGAAGTTCCAAAGAGCAGCTTCAAATTCACTGAAAGACCTTGTCTTAAGGCAATAAGGCTGAGAGAGACAGAAGATAGAATATGACACCTGATGTATGTGTTGTACCACACAAACACAATACACACACACACACACACACACACACACACCACAGAATTACTTTAGGCAAACTTCAGAAGAGTACATTACACAGACAAACGCTCACGACAACCATTTAGGAAATCATCTTACCATGTATTCCCATGCTCCTCTCACTGAATCATGCTTTATAAAGAATCATACCCTGTTGGGAATCTGTTTGTTAGTTTGTAGGAAACTGAGGTTCAGGCAGACCTGTTCTAATGCTGCACCTTCTAAGTGATGATGCCGGATGACTGGCGTCTAAACTCTATCAACTAAAGGAATTGCAATTGGTGATCACTGTGCTTGCTACAGCTGAAGGCAAACGGATGCAACAACTCTTTGTTGCATACGTAATTATCTCTTTCCTGAGTCTAAAGCTAAGTCTACTTTCCAGCTGGGACCTGAGCATTATTTTCCAGGTGTGGGACACTGAGACAAAGAAGACTCAATTTTGCCCTTGGGGATCTCCAAGAATTTAACTAACTAAACACAGTGTGATAAAATCAGATACTCTGAAATCAAGCCAATCTGATTCTAAATATTAGCTAGGCAATCTATCAAGGGAGAGGGGCTGAACTCAGAGATATCTAAAAGGCAAATTGGGCAGGTCTTGCCAACTAAGATCCTTAAGTTAGCCTTGCAGACAGCATGTAAACTACTCTAAGTCTTAGTTTCTTTGCCTGCTGAGGAGTTAAATACTCCGTTTCTCATGAATGCAGAGAATGCTAAATTAAAAATTGGAGATAATGTTAGCAAATTTTACGTGTAAACAGTTATCACAGTGACTTATTTATATGTGAAGGAACAGGCATTGTGGTCTCTGCCATCAAAGCAGTCTTGATGTGCATAAATGTACAGGAGTTCGTCAAGCAGGATGGTAAAGAAAGCAGAAAGACCAGAATTTCATTGCAAGTATGTTATGCTTGAGTAACAAATAGCCTGAGGAACAAGACAGATGGTTTCGAGAGGTGCGCAGAAGCAGCTGTACTAGCCATTGAAAGCAGGAGTGTGGATGCATAGATCATCATTTCTAAAGACCCATCTACATTCATGGTAGAAAAATAGGGAGAGGGCACACTGCTGGTGGCACAAGGAGACTAGGGATTATTTAGAAGGCAGATAGGAAAACCTGAGCTAAGACCATGGCAAGGCAATACTGGATTTGAGGCATGGTAAGTAAGCTGACTCAAGAAAGACTTACTAGCTAGAAGTCCCGTGGCTTGGGTTTTCTGTTGGCCACTGTTGTGTAGTCAGAATGAGTAGAAAGCAGCTGTGGAATGAAGGAGCTATAGAACCCCATGGGTTCAGTGAGCAGTGCATGTGTGCACATGATTTGTATCATGCAAATGCTCCACACAATAGTGGTTCTCAGCCTCCCTAATGTTGCGACCCTTTAATACAGTTTCCTATGTTGTGGTGACCCAATGAAAACGATTTTTGTGGCTACTTTGTAACTGTAATCTTGCTTCTGTCATGAATCATAATGTAAATATCTGTTTTCTGGTAGTCTTTTGGGCGTCACGACTCTCAGATTGAAAACCACTACTAGGGTCAAGACTATGACTTCTGTGGAAATCATGCACGGGCCTTTGTTTAACTGTGAACTGGTACAATGGTGTATGACATTGAGCAGTCAATTGCCTTGTATAAACTCAAGTCTCCATATAATCCCACCAAAGTGGGAGAAGTGTATGTGTCTTAATATGATATTTAGTGTACAAAGAAACATTTCACTTCTCTTTCATATTCAACATGTCCCTTTGAGGTTGTTTCTGATCACCCTAGAAGTGATTGAAGTCTCAGTAAGGTCATAGAACATCATAAAGAACCTGGATCCCCTGACTTTCAACTTTTTTCTAATTTATTTTTTAATAATTACAAACCTGCTCATTGTTAAGGACCTAATTAACTAGGCAAATGGGAACTCACCTGTGCCTTTGTTTTTCTTCTGCCAACTGGGAAAAGTAGCCATGGCTTGAGAAGATTCAATAAATCAATACATGTTAAATACTTAGAACAGCACCTGGCATGCCAGAGTTCTATGTAAGTGTGAATCACTGTGGTCACTCTTATACCCAATTCTTTGATCTCCAGCCACATAAAAATGTCAAAAATGGCCTTTAATACATCTCTCTCAGTCTCCGCTTTTTCTTTTCTTCATCTGGGAATAGCTTTATAGCTTGGAACAACCAGATTCAAATGTCATTAATCAGTTTTCTGAGAGATTGTGTGGTTTTTAGAAGGAGCTGGTATTTTCCCTCTGGATTCTCTGGGTGTAGACTTACTGTCTTTGCTTTAGCGCTCTCTGTAGCCCTTATTATTCTCCTCCTAGGACTGTTATCAAGACATCGACATGGTCTAGGTCAGATTTTCTATGTATCTTAGAACTCTTACAACTCTGCATTGAACTTAGCTTTTAGCTTACTATCAGTAATAATGAGCCTACTTCTACATGTCAACCTTGAGGGAAGCTTCCCCAGGAACACCCGAAGATGTGTGCTCCCTTGAGAACAGTTACCCTTCCAGTTTGGACCATCAGTACAACATACAGGTATACAAGGAGCCTGGAGGGAAGGCCATAGCCAAACAAAACACACTAGCCTTGTGTGGGGTGTGCTTTTAATTGGCCTTTGCCCGTAAAAGTGCCAGACCCTGAAAGGTGTTCACTGTCTGTCTCCCTTTGGAAACTTTGCCCCATGTGTTTGTACAT